TGTTGCATGCTAAAATGCTAAAATGATAAGAAATAATAAAATGGCATACATAAACCACTTAACCGGAACAAAACAGTGGCTTATAGAAAGGAAAGGGCAATAAGTAACAAAATCTTACCTTCTTGGTCGACGTATTGAGACGGAAAGTATATTTCCATGGCGAGGATGCCGACATTTTCCGGCCAAGTTCTCTTCTCCGACGCCATTGTTTCAATCCTGCAACAAACAATCCATAAATTTCAGTTAGTATTGCGGGGAGGTCATAGTCTTCCAGCAATCGACGGGCTGGATAATAAATATCGAACCAACTGAGAATGTCGGTGAATAAAACATCGCCTCCATTGCACCGTCCATATCGCATGCCGCTCACATCCACCCACCACACTGTCAGAGCCGGTTCACGCGACTGACATCCCGGCCCGAAACCGCCGCCATCCCGAGTGACCTTGAGGCGGTGCCACGCCCCCAGCCGGCTTGACGTCACGGCGACGTCGGAGGCCGCCCCTTGGCACCGCCACCGATGAATGGAGATGTCACCGGACACTGTGCCTCGTGACCGAGCGCGAGCCTGCCCGCATAGCGGCGGGGCGGCAAACGGGGTGGGCGCCTCAGCTGCCCAGCGATGCTTTGACTTTTAAAAATGAGCAGCTTAAGGTTGGAAAGAAATAGGCTGTTAAGCAAAATAGATAAATGTTAAAAGAGTGCACTCTGATACACAAAACAAAAATCATTTATAGGCATGGTATGGAAGTAAAAATGCAATCTATAAAAGCTAATTGTGTCCACAAAAGAGATACAAGAAAGATATATTATTTTGGTGTCTATGCCAAAATTACATTAAAAAGTTAAATAGGGGAGATCCGTGTAAGACGCCCAGGGTCGGTAAGAGGCCCCATCGCTTTTTTTACCAAACCAATAATGTTATTTATTTTTTAATGTTCTTGTAAAGCAGAAGCCCTCTTGAAACAACAACTCACGAAACCTGAGGTATCAGGTGCGTCGTAGCGACTTTTGGTAAGCCTGTTTCTGTTTTTGCCCCTTTACTTGCTAGATATATGCATCTTTATCACCCTTATATATCTGAAAAAACAATGGCTATCAAATGCAATCTTATCTCATCGAAATTGTCACATGTTAGCTTCAGAATAGACCATGTTCTGGTGCGCTGCAAATGTCTCATAAACCATAAATATTGTGACGTTAAAACACTGCATTTTTTTTAAGAGGCCCTCCCTTCGAGGATGATAAAACGCCCCCCGATAAAAAAACGTCCCCGAAGCTAAAACGCCTGCACCTGCGGCAGGCGTGGCATTCTTTTTTCAAGGAGTTTGTTTTTGTTTCTTTTTTCTGTTTCTTTTCTTAGAGGTAATAGGTACAATTTTCGTTGGTCATCAGCGTTTGGTTGTGCTAGTTTTCGCATTGTTCGAGCGCTTTGGAAGTGTTATTGGTTTCGATAACACCGTATTTGCTTAGCTTTTCGAAATAAAAGGCCTTGCAGCTGTGTTCGCAAAGCGTCTTTTACAAGTCGACTTGCCTTGTTAAACGCCCGAGGGGATGGGGGCGTCTTACCATACCCATAGTGTAAGAGGCCCTTTTGCAACTTTTTCCAAAATGTTAAAGTTTACGGTTTGTGTACCCCCTAGATTCATTTTGAATGCAAATATGTATGGGAAAATGATGCATGCTCACAGCGCATGCACACGTTAGCTCTTAAATATTATCAGTTGTCTAAAAATAGCAACTGAGCTTAAGGGGGGGCCTCCTGCACCACTCTCCCCTACCAATGTCTAGTGTTCACTTCCAACATCAGCCTTTTTTATGAAACTAGTAGGCAACTTCATCAGAATCAGGTTTCATAATTGTCTTCAATCTGCTTAGTAAATTAATGAACAAAAAAGATATACACAATGAAAGACAACATCCCCAAACACTAGCAGAGCCTGCAAAAACTTGGGGTTCTTTTCTGAAATTCTGAGACTGCTAATGATAATGTATTTGGAGTCTGGGTTAGAACAGTTGTAATGTGCTAATGCTATAGCATTTAGCTGTCTGCCCAGGACTGCAAAGGGTGGTCATTTTGATCTTGATGAGACCTTGATGAAGAAGGGGCACTCAGCTGGTCAGTGGTATGTGAAGGTTTAACACAGTAGGAGTAGTGTTGGCATATTGTATGGAGCAGTGCAAACCTAAATATCTAAGTGGTATCCATTTCCTGTACTGAACCTCTGCACTGGAGAAATAGCATGCTACAAATTATATAAAAGTAAGTGATCAAATCCCAGTTTGGTGAGGGCTGGTGCAGATTTCCACCATAATTGGTATGGACTGTTGAACCTGCTATGGATTTGTCACCCTTACTGCCTGCTGGTGCAGATCACTCCCTCTCTTGCAATGTTTTGAAATTCAGGACAGTCACTGTCCCAAATTCAATGCCTTGAAATCAGGGATGAATAAGCACTATCAAGTATCAAGTTCAATACACTTATTGGCAATTTAAGGTTGCATCAACGACCAACTACAAGACACATACCTCTTCAACAAGGAGCTTAGAACAGAAGCCATTATCATAAAATAAAAATGATGCTAACCACAATGTCTGTTCCTCAATCTCATTCTGAGCCGATTCACAGCTAAAAAAGGAAGCAGCCAGGAGATACATTTACATCAACACATGTGAAGTTTTGAAATAAAAAGAAGCTGTTTGTCTCTCTTGGTTTTTATTGCAGCCTATGAGTTATGACTCAATTTCAATTTTATTTCATAATTACGACGAGGTACCTATCTTTTGTGGCCTTCCAAATGTCTATATCTAGTTATTATTTAACCAGCCAAATCAGTCGGGCACACTGTGGTATTTCCGATCCATTTATGGAAACGTTTCCATTTTTGGAACAATGTTCCAAAAATGGATACGCCGTTTCCAAAAATAGAAACGGTCTGTTCCATAAATGGAGACGCTGTGTGCATCGCTACCTTTAAAGCAAACTGGGCATTGATTGGTGCAATTTGGCATGTGCAGGATGCCACCAATCGACAGCCAGCATTCTAATTTATGTTCCTGTTCTCCGACTTTCCGATCAGAAAACCGAAAGTTGACAAACGAGGCGTTGCTTATAACATGTCGACGTGATAAAAAAATTCACACGTTTTTCTAATCGAAAATAATAACATTTATGAATGTTTTGAACAAAAAATAACGTTTTTAACAGACTACTGAAAGACTGGCCCATTGATTGGAACAACCACATCACCGGGAACTTCAGTTTTTCATTCATTTTCACGCTGCATTTTCCGGTGTACCAGCGGCCTGGTGGTCGTCAATCTTTGATTAAATCGCATGAAAGTTGTTGCAAAGCCCTATTTGGAGACTTAAGTGGGCATTTTATGATATTTCAAATGTGATGAATATGATCGTAGGCTCGGAGCAACGTAAATCTCCGTGCAAATACGTAAAAAGCAGGATGGAAATAAGGTCTGCACCATCGTCACACCAAATACCGTTGTATTCTGACGATGAATTTATTCATTCTAGCTCATGTGCAACATTGATATTAATTTTATATATTGAAATGATATCTACGCTTTATGTATTGCCCACTTTGGACCACATCTGTCCAGTAGTTTCTGGGAAATCTTAGTTTTAGTTGACTTTTGAATGTGCTCAAGTTGCGGCGCGTAATGTATTATTATCGAACCCGACGTCCAAGTTAACTGCCGAGAGCCGAGATGCTAAACCAGTCCCAAAACATCAAATTTTTAGTTGCATGTGAATTTTAAAAACACATTTAAGCTAAGTTTGCACACATTTGAACTTCAGCGTTTCTATTTTTGGAACATCGGCGTTTCCATTTTTGGAAACTAAGTCTCCATAAATGGATACGATTCAGGAGCATTTTAAAGACGTGAATTTGAATGCATACGACAGCTTTCCATGCAAGAAGACAAGTGCTTTTGGTGTATCTGAGCTTGTTTTACACGAAACAGTTGTTATACATCAAATCCAGCCACCCTTGGCAAGAAAATATGTGCGGAGATGTTAGCGTTTCTATTTATGGAACGAGCGTTTCCATTTTTGGAACAGAAGAGTAGTCAAAATTGGAAACGTTTCCAATAATAGAAACGTCTCCATAAATGAAACGGAGATACCACAGTGCGCCCGACTGAAATGTGCAATAGCATAAAATAATGAAATAACTGTTTGCCCACTTTCTTAAATCGAAAAATAGCCTACACTGACACAGACAGATTTCAACAAAATTGCACAATGCACACTTGCACAATTACAAAATATACCTATCTTTACTTTGGAAAACGTTCCTTCTTCAACTGCTGTCAAGGTTGCACCAGAAGTTGGGACGCCTTGAGTTGGAGCCGCAGGGCAACCCAATCGCACGCGGTCCACCTCCACGCTCGACTCAACCCACAAGAAAATGAGAAGGGAAGGTTACAACGCATGCCATATTACAACTGAGTACTCATATACCTGCTCTGTAATTCGGCGTTTCCGAAAACGCATCCTATTTGACCAATGAACTACCGAGTTATGCAATTATGAACGCTAGTTGCTAGGTAATATCAAATAAGCACTTGCACATGATTATATAAACACAAGAGTAAACATCTTATGCGTCACCATTGTCAACAAAATTCTGCCACGCAAAAATGCTTTATTTTGAGGTATGAGTTTATCAGGATATTTTATTTTCATATAAAATGTATTTAACTCATTCACAATATCGACTAACATAATAGCCAATTTGCAATGTTCATATTCAAGCTTTAATATTCTAAAAATACAATATAACTTATTTTGACGTCATTATATAAAGGTATTTTGAATCTGTCTGTATTCGTTTTTGTAATTTCGAACTTGCGGGAAAATTGTTTTGAAGGTGAAGGGGCTGATGGTGGGCTCTGTCAAGGGCTCTGTTACATTTATGCATTTGTTATTGGTATAAAGTCCTCCCTGGTAAATTATTGCTGGAGGCTTTTTACAACTGTATATGGAGTATGGACATTTCCCGCCAAATCAAAATTTGGACGAGTTTGAGCTTCAAAGCATGCAGATTAGGTAGTTGTGCATCGATGGCAAATATTTGTAAATTTAAGATAATTCATGAATGTGCTTCATATCTGATATTTGAAGCAGATAAAGATTGCCTTTTTACAACATATTTTAATATCTTCCTTTCCATTGGCATCATTTCATTTGCCTGCATCAGACTAGGCCTGGAGTCAGTTTTCACTAGATTCTCATTTCAATTTTTTATTTGAACGTGATTTGTCATTTAATGATTTGATAATCTAACCTAGCGTTCGACTTTGATGTCTCTCAGACTATCTTTTAGGGCCTTGTCTCAGACGACGAAGATTCTATGTTGTCCGGCCAATCCCGTTCAAGGTCAGCGGGGGCTCGGCTGTGGTTATAAAACGTGATTGGCCAGATGACGTATAATCTTCGTCGTCCGAGAGACATTGAATGCGGGGTTAATCAGCTCTTATGAAACATTTGTAAAGTGTAGCAAAACATTCACCAGCTGAAGTCTGAACTGAACCTGTGGGTGCTGGCGTGTTGCTTACCCTCTGCCAACTGCAATTGCTAATCATTGATCCAGAATACAAAGCATGGCAAAATAGGTATCAGTAAAGCTGGCGTCACCGTCGGCACTAGCCAGTAAATGTGTCAATTAAATCTGAGTTTTAAACATAATCTAACCTGACCTTTCCTTACCTACAAACCTACAACCTACAAGCCTACAACTGACAATTTACCTGCCTACCTATCTGCCTACCTACCACGGATGGTGATGCCAGCTTTACCGAATACCGATACTGCAAAATATTAATACAATGTCTTCTGTGCTGGGCGCAAGGGCTCTCCATTGTTGTTTGTTGTCATGGGGATTTACCATGGTATGTTTCAGATTTCATGTGGAGCAGGGTAGTTTTTGACATTATACTGTGCTGAACTGCTGTGGCATAGCATGAAAATGCTGCTCAGGGGACAGCTGGGCTGGCCAGGGAAGAATTGGGTTTATACCATAGTTTTGTCTTGTCAAAGGTGACAAATACTAGATAACTACCTAACCACCTACCCATCTACCTGCCACATTAGTCCCCATGCCTGACAACTCCACTTAATTTCTGCTAACACTATCAATGCTTCAACATGGCTATTGTCAAAAAGATATGCATACTGAGAGAGTGCTGACTAATGCTCAATGCTGCACTACAATCATCCTGAAAATATTCTTCTGTTTCAGGTTTTTCAACACTAGCCATTACCCAAAAGCATGGCTGGGCTAGATGATGAGGATATTATTGATGGCAGTGATGAGGAGCAAGAGGATATCACACCTGCAGATATTCTGCACAAGCTCAAACAGGTTAGTTATCTTTTAATTTGAATAGGCAACTGATTGCAAAATGATTCAACAAGTAGGTGGAACATTTATTCATCTGAGCTGTTGGATGTGACCCTGTGATACTAGTCTGTCACACATCAATGATACCCATGGTATATACCATGCCTTCATATCGTCATGAAGTCCTCACTGATAGTTTGAGCCTGTGTCTATGCAGTGTATTGGATACCTGACGATGTTTTCTAACTCGGCTGTTACTGCAGTCGTGGATCGACGAGACCCGATGTCCGGAGCTGCTGGAGTACGACGGTGACGTGGTCGACTGCATGCTGGACCAGATCCACCAGATGGAGGCCAACCTGAGAAGGGTCAGCAAGACCGACTTCAAAATATCCATACACAAAATGGAGGTGGGTTACAGCGCAGTGAATGGACAATCGATGATCGATCAAACGATCGCAGTGACAGCGGAACGGTGGGCTCATCATTCTAAGGCTCGAGTGGCAGTTAGTTAACCCGCGCCCTGCTGGGGGTCCTGGATTTCCACGCCCTGCTGGGGGGGGTGTTTGAACACCCCCCCTTGTAACTCGGCTCCTGGGCCACGTAGCGATACGCGGAAGGCGGCGTTCGAAAGAGCGTCAAAAATAATGACGAAATCACTTCGGTCAATTTTTTGGTCAGGTCAAAGGTCAGGTCACCAGAGGTCATTGAAGGCAAAATTTCGCCGATTCCCAGGTCGAATGTCGAAAATTTCCAAGAAGCCAACGCATAACTCGGGAACCAATAGAGCTACAGCGCCGCGGAAAAGCGCATTCGATAGCCCTATTAACACCCTTTCTGAGTAATTCTCTCAGATTTGACCTAACGTCAACGGTTTTGCCTGCAGGGGGCAAAAACTGCAAAAATAGCCGATTTTTTCGAAAACAGTTTTTCTGCAATAACTTTTGACCCAAGCCTTGTACGAGCTTACTTTTACCGGCATCGTGTTCCTCTCGTCAAGACGCATCGAATGAACTATGACTTGACCTTGAAAGGTCAACTTGAAAATTTGACCTCAGGTCAAGGTCATGACCTGACCGGAAAGGGTCATGTTGCATATCAGTCGATCCGTATCGTCGAGCTGAACACATCTAAGGCGTTTTCAGCGCTCTAGCATGCCTCTATCAAAAGTTATTTGCGAAAAACTGTTATATACCATTCGTGACCTAAGATGACCTCAGGGCATAAACAAGGGTCACGGACACCATTTTCAAGTTCAGTGTGTCTAAACCACTTGTAATTCGGTGTTTGGGAGTGTTTATAATGTCTTTCATCCAAAAGAGGCGCATTTCAATTTTCTCCCATTGACTTATAATGGGGAGGTCGCAAAATTGACCTGACCTTAGGTCATCGATATCAAAATTCTGAGATATACATTTTGTACATGCTATTGCTCTTAGCAATCGCTGAAAGTTTCAAAGCGATCGGTCACTCGGTGTAGCTATGACAGACATTGAAAGTTTTTATGAGATGAGGTCACTTCAAGTGACCTGGTGACCTGACCTTGAATGACCTTGGTCTGAAATTTTCACAACATGTGTAGAATTGATGTATGATAAGGTGTACCAAAAACGGCGGCGCTCCGCGCCGCCGTTTTTGAGATATTCGCGAAAAACCACAAGGGGGGTTGTTCAAACACCCCCCCCCCCCCCCAGCAGGGCGCGGGTTAAAGTTCGGGAAGTAAGAGCCCGGGTTTGAGTCATACTATCGCCCGATAGTCGATATAAAAGACTGACAGGATGAGGAATGAGCCGCTGTAAGTGGGAGCAAAATGCAGCCAGTTGAAGTGGAAGAAGTCTGCAACCATGGGTAGTTATAATAGGCCGTAGCCAGCCATCGTTACTCGCTCCCCCGTCCTCCGCTGTGAGTTGACGGTGTGTTTTTCGCGCACCGTCTGCAGGTGGACCGTATTCGGTACATGATCGCCAGCTACCTGCGCTGCAGACTGCAGAAGATCGAGCTCTACCACCGCTACCTGCTGTCCAACGAGGAGCAGCGGCGCCGGCTGTCGCCCGCCGAACTCAAATTCGCCACCGAGTCAGTATTTGTGAGGCGTTTATCAGGGGAGGCAGGGTGGACCTCGCGGGCTTTCGAATGATAGCTTGCAACGGATTGTTCATAGTGGTTAAAGTTTGCAACGATCACTATTGCTTGCCTTCAAGGACGATACAATAATCTTTGACAAACATTTTCTGACGCTGTCGTTAACTTTATGACGATGGTGATTTTACGTTACATTGTATCGTTTTGTTTCAACCTGTCCATGTTTTGGGGTAGATGAGTCATGCGTGTTGTATATGAGGTTATCGCGTGATTCGATGTGACTAAGTGTCAACGATTAATCCTATTAGTTAAAGTAATCGCTGATCTAGCAGGTGTTTCTCGGAAACCGTTTCGAGTTGGCTGTGTCATTTGACACTATGCGTGGTTTCTTACCTCCGTTCTCCCTCCGTGGGCAGGTTCCAGGCGAGTCACGAGGCGCACTTCCGGGAGGTGGCGCTGCGGCACATGCCCTCCTCTGGCGCGGCGGCCCACTCGCAGGCAGAGTCAGAGTCGGAGGTGCCTCTCAGCGGCGAGGGCAGCCGGCTGCAGGCCGCCGAGGCCACGGTGGCGCCCAGTCTGGACACGCACGTGTACCTGAGGGCCGCCACCGACTGCCCGGGCGTGCTCATCACAGACGAGGCCGGCGACTCCAGGTCAGCGCGGACACATGACCCTCGATAGGACTAGAGACTTTGGAAAGGAATGAGCTCCTATGGTCATAATTGGATGCACCTGTTTTGCACATGTAACGTCAGTATTCTAGTATTTTCGCTGCTATCGTTATGCTTTTTTATCTTCCATCTCTCCATTTTAAATGGTTTATTTGTCTATATTGTTTTGTCATATGATAGCTCATTTATCAAAAGATATCTTAATCAACCTTACCTTTTAAATTTAATGATTGGTTTGACTATAAGGAATATTGCTTCGCGCAGGAGCGCTCAAGTGTCGCGTCTCTGACGACCGCTCGCCTCACCCCTGCCGATCATGTCTGACGTGTCCACGTCGGTGTCGTGTTTCAGGACGGAGGAGGTGGACCTGGTGAGCGGCTCCCAGTACCTGCTGCGATACGAGCCCGTCCACAAACTCCTACACAAGGGTGACGTGCACCTCATCTGACTTCACCTGAGATCCTGGTCCACCGACAGGTCCTTCTCAACGGTATGGAAACTCCCATTGCCGCCCTCGGCGCGTCCCAGGGCCGCCTCAGGTCCGGTCAGAGTTCCCCAAATGGTCCCATAAACTCACCAGCATCCTCCCGTCCTCATTTACGGCTAGAGCATAGTTTTATACCGGTGTTCTCATGCGTGGTTTGAGGTCTGGTGATGCCGGCAAAGCTCTGCGATATTCGATGGAGCGGATCTGTGTTGTTATGGCCACGTAGGTGGCGCGAGTGTCGTTTGCATACTGTGTATACCTGTGATGCGTGTAGTGTTAGATTTTGTACATCTTCCCTGTGTGATACTGAAAGAACTTTGATAATAGTTCAAAAAATGGCCTACAACCGCACTAGCCTATCTATTAGTTTTGTAATGCTAACTTTAAAAGTCAATACACACGTTAGTTTGAGATACGTTCAATGTTTTCTGTCCAGGCGTTGAAAAACGAAGTATAAAGGTGGTAAAATATAATGTCGCGCCGTTGTTTACATTTACTGACTGAATGCATCAGCAATTTTCAGTTTCTTGTCATGGGGTAGGTATCATTTTTCGAATAACTTCTGACTCGAATTAACAATTATCCGCTTGGAGATCAACCTTGAGGTGAACTAGCAATTAACTTGGCGTTGTTCGATACGTTTTCAAAACATTTACCTCGTTGCGGATACTACATAATACAGGATGTGAGTACGTACGTCGTACAGTCAGCTGCATTAAGAATTTCACTGGGGACCGCTTCAAGATTGAGAAGACAAAGAAGACTGAAAAGTACCTTGTATTGGAATGAGGTTTTGTATATCTTTAGGAATCTTTGTTTTGTACAGATGAGACCAAGGCTGAGACGGTCATTTTGTGTGTCTATTTGTCTAACTTTCGCAAGTGCGCGTTTGGTTGAGAGTTTAAAAATTGGTGCCAACTGAGAACATTTAGTGCGAGAACTCAGCTGTTTGTTTTGCGCGTTGACCTTGAGCTCGATTTCACGTGCCAGAGCCAGTGAGGCCCTTGTTTTGAATTGAACTAATCAGACGGAACACTAGCAAAGGATCGCGTTCGACTGTGAAGGTAGGTAGCTGCGGAAGGGTGTGGACTTGTCCAACATTCACTTAACACTTGTACTGTTTTGTGTGTCATGTGCATGGATTCTTAGCCTAGTGAGCTGTCCACTGTCCACAGGTGTTGTTTTGGTGTGACAGGATGAAGTAATGATTCATGCCATTCATTCCATGCTTAACTGTTGGATAAGATCGTGGCCTTCGGTGTATAAATGGTGAATTGTGACAAATTATGCTTATTTGAGTGACAGGTGTGGCTGTTGAACGTGCTGCGGTCCCAGCTGGTTCCGAACACAATGTAGGTTGTTCAGGATCTGTGCAAGTGAAAGCTCTGGAGGATTAGGCATTCAGTTTGGTTTTGTGTAGTCTTATTTTGGTTTTTCAATGGTATTGTTTTTGTTGCCTTCTGAATTTATATTTTCACGTGCAACTTTTTGATAAGCATGGTGTTAGTAAAGTAACTCCCTTTTTTGCTGTTTCACACGAGAACATTTACATTTGTTTGGATTAATTTGGGAGTATTTACAAAATATTCATAAGTGTCAGCTAATAGCTTATTTGGTGATCTAATGTTGCAAAGTCTGCTTCACAGGAGAAGACAGCATCCTTGTTTTCATCTTTTTAGAATGGTTGATCCATATGCATCTAATGGATATGCAAAGTAAAATTAGTAACAAGCTCAGTAAGTTCTGTTTTGTGCTGGTCCTCCTGGAATGTCTGTATGTTGATCTGCACTGAAGGTATTCATTGTCTCAATTTTGATGACCTTGGTATCCCTTTACCTTTTGACTCCTCAATTTTTCATTTGATATATATAGGTAAGAGGCTAGTGGACTGTTTATTCTATGTTCAGATGTGATGAATTATTTATGACTGGGTTGAGAGGTGCTGCAGGAGACTGATCTCAGCTAAGCTTTATTAGCAATTTGAGCCCAGTGAAATTTTCATGAATGTGAGCACTCAGAAGCTGGGCACTGAGTAGTGAGTGGTGGGTGCATTGAGTAAAAGCTGGCCATAAGTTTGATAGGGTCAAACAGAATTGTATTGTCACAAGTCACAACTTCATTTCAGCATTTCAGTCATTATGTAACTGAGCCCAAGCTTGCTTCACAGTCTGGTCATCTTATCTGGTCTGTTTACTATTGGGCGCCGGTCACGTGTGCAGTCGGTCGGCGTTACCGTTGCGGTGCCGTTTCGCAGAGCAGTGAGCGGTGCCGGCGGCAGCGGTCGGCCGCCATGATCCGCTACAGCGCCCTGGAGCGGCTGCAGCACACCTCCGGTGTGGTGCGGCAGTACGTGCGCCGCGCCGCCGGCCAGGTCGGAAGGCACTCGCCCCGGCTGCTGAGCGTGCACGAGGTGGCGGCCGTCCACCGCGAGCCAGGTGAGAGCGGGTGGTCACTACCGCCGTGTGTGAGGGAGAGTGATCTGGGATACGGTATGTCCCGACCGATATAGACAGTTCATTGGCGAGCAGACCGCCTCAGGGTCGCAACTGATACTTCGTTCTCGGATTCTGTAACAATTCCCAGAAGAATTTAAAATGAGTTTTTGTCATTAGCATGCAATAATTTTCAATGATGCCACAACTATTGCAGTTACGCCCCAGAAGCTTCATCTGAATCAAACTTAGGTAACTCGATGCTTTGCGACCTTTCAGACGTTTCGTAACGGCAGATGCTCTAAAGCGTTGTCCTAAAAGATAACAAATATGTGGTACCTTCTCTAGTGCTATAAGCGACGTGGAATCGATAAGGGTGTATTGTGTAATGTAATCAGTACGAATACTTGTGGCCTTACTTCACCGAGCTCTATGTAAATAGTACGCACCTGCGCTCCGGCTGTCGGCAAACGTCTCTGTCACGCGACAAATGAGAAAATTAGGTCTATGATCAGATCGGATCCCAGGTCAACATTCGTGGGATGGGATTATAAATTAATAGATCCCATGTCCGTCTTCTCGGATCCATGTACAATGCACATGTCTGTTATCCTCACCCCGACCTGGACAGAGTCGCGTTCGATCGATACCCTTGCAGCGGCGAGTGGCTCGTGTCTTTGAATTAATTATCCCCATCGCGTGTTGCTCGTTGTAAACATCAGTCGTGGCGCGTGCCAAGACAACTGATGATTGTGGCTTGGGACCTGACACGGCTGCAACTTGCAATGTTAGTCATAGTGGTATTTGCTATAGTATAGCAGTAAGCGAAGGTACTGGGAACATTAACTCTGGGGATGGATTAGAAATACCCAAGTGGTTCCTGCATATTAATGGGGGAACAGTTAAAGACTCCCTGGGAACCTGATAAGCATAGTGATCACTTCGTGTCGTCTATCACATCAACGTTCTGTTTTGTAGAAATTTCGTACGTTCAAAATAAATATTGTCGACGCCACATTTAGCAAAAACAAAATGTTATTTGCGTTGGAGAGGGGCTTAAAAATATTTGGAGGGGCTGTTTTGGTGGGAAACCGACTAGTTCGCATAAATCAACATCAGGAAGTGTGCGACTGGCTATTCTTAAAATGTCCTTTGCCAAACTCCACGATAATTTGCGCAGTGCGTTCCAGCCTTGTACGAGGGGGTATCGAAAAGTTCTGATCATCACATAGAAGATATAGACCGATTTTGATGATTTTTGGTTGGTAGCATATTTGGTTCTTGAGAAAAATGTTCCTGCACAGAGAATCCTGAGAAGTGGTTTTATCTTATGTAGGAGAGACTTAGAAGCAAAAAAGATGAGTATTGGGCCCATTGAGGACCGAACCTACATCCAACTAATGCATTTGAAACGGTATCACATTGAGAAAATACATCAAGATCGTGAAATTAGTTTATGGCGAGGAAAGCCCATCTCATGCAACTACCGAAAATGAAGAAATAATTTTCAACTTGGTTGCATGGCCCTTGCAGGTGAATCAAGAAGTGAGTGACTACCAATGACTGACAAGGTGGTGACTGTGAAAGAAGTGGAGGACCTCATCCTTACAGATCGTCGTGTGACCTTTCAGATGAATGTGCAACAGAAAGGTCTCAATGCTGGCAGTGCCTGAAAATATTATCAGCGAAGAACTACAGACGATAAAGGAGTCAGCCCGCTTAGAAGTTCGTGTGTCTACTTTGTTCAAGAGAAAAATGCGTCTTGGCCTTTCGAAACCAAAACTAGGCCTTTTTTTAGGAAATTGAAGACATCTTCGATCATTTGATGACTTGTGACGCATGCTGGGTCTATGTGTATGATCCAGAGACAAAAGGATGATCAAGAAGTTTAAGCACGGCACATCTGTCCTTCTTAAAAGGCGAAGATGCAGAAGCCGATATGGAAGGTCAATGCTATCAAAGTTCTGGATCTGGCGTAGGATAGTCATTACCGACTGTCTTGATGATGGTCGGATAATGATAAGCAGGCACTATTGCACACTTTTGAAGAAGTTGCGAGATGGCCTCAAGCAGAATCGCCGCAAAAAAGCCCAAGAAAGATGTTTTATCCTCACCGACAGCGCCCCCGCCCAATCGTCCTGAGCTGCGATTGAAGAAACAACATGATGTGGACATTAAATCCTACCGCATCTAAGAAATTTACCTCGCCGGGTATTAACTGACTCTTGATTGTTACGGGAGATGAAGAATCCACAGTATGGCCGGTGATTTAAGGACAGAAATGACGTCATTGATGAGGTGGAGCAGTGATTTACGGGACAGTGCGAAGGTCCTACAATGACCGCCTGAGGCAGCTCAAGAAACGATACAATAAGTTTGCGGTCGTGTGTGGTGACTTGTGAAGGAGTAATGAACATCATGTAAAAAATCAAATTTCTATCACATCTAATTCATGGTGATGATCAGAACTTTTCGATACCCCCTCGTATGCGATCTATATTGGACCCCCCGCGCACCGACGGGGGTCTGCGCCAACTTCGCACCGACGGGGGGGCGGATGACCGCCCCCCCCCCCTGAGATCTCGAGAACGAAGCAAGATAGCGACAAGCGGTAAACGGCATCGGATGCGCACGGCCAAGATCTACAATTTTTACTAAGGTCATTTTCAGGTCAGGTCAAAGATGACGTCACAGGGGTCGAAAAAGTTCAAATGGAGGCGCTAGATATGGAGAGAGTTTTTCTCGAATAACTTTCGAATTAGTCAAGATAGGAACAAACTAAGGGCATCATCGTGATCCTCTCGTCAATCCGCATCGAATGATATATATGTTGACCTCGAAAGGTCAAGGTCAAAGGTTGACCTCAGGTCACGTGACCTCGAGGTCATCATGTATATCATTCGATGCGTCTTGACGAGCTGAACACAATGAGACCATCCACGCGTCTGTATCTTGTTCCTGTACGGAGTTATTGGCCAAAAACCTTTGGTGACCTTTGATGACGTCACATGACCTCCCAGCTGCCCAACAGCAAAACAGACCTCAAGGTAGTGAAGGTTGATCGTATATGAAGTCATGTATGGTATATGGGGCCATTCCGACCCGTTTTAGTGGTAAAAACAGGGAGTTGATTTTTCCCCCATTGACTTATAATGGGGAGGTCGCGAAATTGACCTGACCTTAGGTCACCGATATCAAAATTCCGAGATATACAAATTGTAGCTACTAATGACCTAATAATATCCTGCGACTTTCAAAGGCCTCCGACATCTACTGTAGCTCTGGCACGGTGACAAAGTTTCAAAAAAGTGACTTGAGGTTGGGTCATTCAAAGTGACCTGGTGACCTGACCTTAAAAGGTAGGAGGTTCAAACTTGCACACCATGTGTAACATTGATGAGGTTATAGTCATACCAAATTTCGCGGCGCTACGCGCCGCGGTTTTCCCGCTATTCGCGAAAAACCTCAGGGGGGCGGATATCCGCCCCCCCCCCCCGTCGGTGCGAGGGTTAAATATTTACGTAGCTACACAGTTCCCGGTACTTGCTACCGGTTCTCAGCACCTGTGGCTCTAGTATTGTCTAGCAACTACTTTCAGGCACTGACTCAATGTTCTTTTGGCGATGCAGGTGGCACCTCCGTCGAACCCGAGTTCATGGATTCAACGGGTTTAGTGTTTGTCACTTGCACACACCCAGGGAATGACTTGCATGCCTTCTATCAAAATAAGTCATATGCACCTGGCTGTCTTTCAATGTCAAACGATGTGTGCGATATCACAAAAATACCTGCCCAATGCCCATAGTGTTGAGCCCCTCCTTCCGGCAGGCATCATCAGCGGGTACGTACCGCACGGCTCGTCATGGACGTGTGTACGCAGTCTGTTTCTGCCCACCAACGAGACGGTGAACTTCTGGACGCACTTCTTACCGGCCCTGTACTTCGTCTGGCGGCTAGCCTCTCTGCCGGGCAGCTCACTGGAGCCGGCCGACCCGTTCACCTGGCCGTTCGTGTGCTATCTCTTCACCTGCTGTCTGTACCCGCTCGTCTCCAGCGGAGCGCACGCCTTCAGCCCAATCTCGGTGAAAGCGGCACACGTTGGCTTCTTTGTTGACTATGCGGCTGTTAGTATGTTCGGTTATGGTGTCGGGGTAATGTACCGCGCCTACTGTTTTCCACGTCGGCTGCTGAACTCAGCTTACAGCGACTGGTTCGTGTGCGTCTGCTTCGCCAACACGTGTCTCAGCACAGCTCTGGCCTGTCTCTCGCGGTTCCTGCGCCGCAGCCGCTGGCGTAAGCGGTGCCGTGTGCTGGCCTACCTGGTGCCCTACCTGTGGGACCACGCGCCGCTGCTGCTGCGGGTGCTGGACTGCGGCCCGGAGGCCGATCGCGATGACTGCCGCCCGTCGGACGCCTACCACCTACACCAGCTGGGGGCGTTCCTGGCCGGCTCACTGCTCTACAGCACTCACTGGCCGGAGCGGATCGCGCCGGGCACGTTCGACGTGATCGGCCACTCGCACAATCTGCTGCACGTGCTCAGTATCTACGCCACCTACCAGCAGATGAGTGGCGGCCTGCTGGATCTGGAGGCGGTGCGCAGCCACGGCGCCGGTCTGGTGGAGGGTGCTGCTGACAGACATCTCCAGCTGTGGGCCACGTGGGGCGCCCTGGCGGCGATCGTCGTGAACCTGGCCATCGTCGCCGTATCGGTGGTCGCCATGTTTCGGAAGGTCAAGCGAGAACACGAGGAGGATAAGCGTCAGTGAGGCCACCTGCAGGCAAGACGCGGAACTGCTGTTTGTCGTACCCGTCGCGAATGTTCCCCACTGGCTTTCAATGTTAGCTGCCAACGTACCGATGGTTTCGCACAGCACGCATCATTTATATCGCAATGTGGCCAGTCTGGGCGTGCCAACCGGAGTGCCTTAGCCGCGTCACTGCCAGGTGGAGGTTGCAACTCAGTGGTCAGAGGAATGTGCGTGAAGAGGACTGGTCCCGCTACGCTTCCTACCAGCTTGCCTCATATATTTGTGCACGTAGATTTAGTGGCATCTGAATGTTAATCGGCCTGAGTTTTGTGTGCTTAGTTTACGCAGCCATATATTTGGGCAATGTGCAGAGTTATTACCCAGGTACTGGTAAGGATTCTTAGAGTATGTATCGATTCCTAGGAGTACCGATTGCACGCAATGCTTTTCATTGTTTCTAGCATAATCAAAACAAAAAGTATTCCAGCTATTGCTACTTTGGCTAATTTTGAAAGGCTGAATATTTTGACAATACGTATTACGATCATTGTTATTTTTCACGGGTCTCATTTGCCTATCTTTTTAAATACGTCATTTTCTTATCGAGTCATATAGGTGAAGGGAAGGCGGTTATATCGATGTCATTTTTTTTGTTCCCTGGAATGCCATATTCTGCTTTTTTTAATTGGATGTGTGTTTATGGAGCGATTTTGTTGCTTGCAACAGGAAGGTGGCCCATTTGGTCAAGGTGCAGTTACTTCAAAAGCAGCTTGAAAGCTGTGTTATTTTCATTATCCTCGGATATGTATTCTGGTGCTCTTTCCACTGGTACGTGAATATGGAGACGTAGAGCTGTCATAAATTGTCTTAGGACGTAGGTAGTGTGTTTTATTTTTGTCGTCGTGAGTTCTTTGAGTTGGCGATGTATTGATTGGCAAGGCAATCGCTTGTTGCCTTGGTGGCGTAGCTGGCACGTAGTTTGTGTCTAGGCAGTATGTCGGTGCAGTAGTCTGTTGTCGTTACATGCGTGGCCAGCCGGGCCGATCTGTTTTGGTGATGTCGTTCTGCGTTTGACTGGTCGATGGTAGCTATTTTTATTGGTGGCAAACTTCCAGCTCAATGGTTTCATACTCAGGCGAGATAGAGCCCTGTTTTGAGCAGCAATGCGTGAGGCTTCTGACTGGGCAGTGGTACTGGCTAACCAACTATCGGTATCTTGTGATTCCGATATGGTGCATCGCTCCAGATCGGTCATGATTGACCAGGCTCTGCGCTTGCAGCTTTTCTACGAGGCGAAGAAAGTGCAACAGTCGTCATTCGGTACAATATCATTAAATTCACTTATTGTCCGAGATCGTCAATGGTTGTTCGAGATCGTGTCCTGCCGTGATGATCCTGGTTCATCAGCATTAGTCGCCGGTGGTTTGTTGTAAAGATTGTTTTTGTTTTATGTCAATCACCCATAATCGTGCTAGTCACCAACACAGCAGCGTAGAATTAGTTTATTGCAGTGGAAAATGCCTCGCTTGCTCATGGAAGTCATGTTCTGCCGGTACGGAAGGTTTTTGGATTTTTTGTAACACACGGCCATGGATGAAATAATACTTATCTATTATCTCATCCGTGACACGGTCTTGCGGGAGATGATAATCATTGGTGTGATGATATGATTCCACTTCAATATCTTCCACTGAATAATATCAACGAACATTTATCAGTCCGCCGAACTTGCGAGTAGTTTTAGTATACATATACCCAGGGCTGCGGAGTCGATGGATTTTCGGCGACTCCGACTCCGACTCCGACTCCGGCTTTCAAAAACCAGCTCCGACTCCGACTCCGGGCAGAATTGTCGACTCCGACCGACTCCAACTCCCGACTCCGACTCCGCAGACCTAGCAGGGCTGCGGTGTCGACAGATTTTCGGTGACTCCGACTCCGACTCCGGCTCGGGTTTCTAAAATCGACTCCGACTCCGGTCACAACTGTCGACTCCGCCCGACTCCGACTCCGACTCCGACTCCGCAGCCCTGCTGAGTGATATACCATTCTAATGTCGTCCCATCTTTGAGTGATTGTAGTTATGTTTGTAACGCTTATGGATGGTGATTGGTGCGTTGGGGCCATTTCTTAGTGAACAATTTTCTGTCCTGAGCTATACTTGTAAGCGAGCTTTGCTATCGTGACTGTGACTGGCGTTATGTGCTTTTGGCCAACTGGCTATAACTGAATGAATGATGCTTATCTGTCAGATGTCAATGCATGTCTGCTGCCTGGCAGACTAGCTCTCGTAACCAGGCCTCTCTGTGGTTCAATGCGTACACACAGCCGGGCTGAGCGCCGCCCCGAGGACAGGGAATGCTGCCTTTGTTACAGCGCAGCTCTAACGGAGGGACCCAAGCTTGAGTGATACGTAATCGATAATGCACAATTGTTTACCAGGGTATATCCACACGCTTGTCCGTGTATCAACTCGATGTTTGCCGAAATAAACTGTCTTGGTTATTAGCAGCGTTTTTATTGTGAAATGATCAGCGAATGGTGTGATGTGAGGCCATTCTGAAAGAGGAATGTGTAACGCTGATTAATTTAAGCTCACTGTTTCCTGTTAAGTCCATCTGCCCCATTCAAACGTTCCCGGTAGGTACGTGACTTACTAAGCAGTGAATTGGGTCCGGCTAGAAGTATCCGCGTTTGCCCTATTCCTATTCGCCTACACCCTCACAAATTTTACCAGGCCGTTATGCATAAATATGTCGGCTTTAAGTACGTCTCATCCCACGATCACTCCCCCCATCTACCGAATTCCCTCCAAAAATGCTCACTCGCGCCGGTCAGGTACTGCCGGGTGAGTGCAATGCCGACCCCTCTGCAGTCGACCCGCCCCGCCCGCGGCCGACCGGCCGGTCCGGGCCGTTTTCACTTTCAGCTTTTACCGTCTGCGTCGATAGAAATCGGCGGCGCTGGTGGTGCGGCGCCGGCTTGTGTTTTTCTGCGCCTATCGTGCGTCGGTGTGCATTGTGCACCCATGGCCCGGGCGGCTCAACCTACCGTCGACGGACGTGGGGCGCCGCAACCGTTCGGCAGCCGCGCCGTGTTTAGAGAAATCGAAAGCTCTGCGTGCCAGGCTGCGTGGTACCTTCTGAACGTACGGTGGTCGATGGGAGGGAGGGGAGCTGGGGAATGTGTGCTGCGAGTTCCGTGAGGTGGCTGGCAATGAGGGACTCGCAGCGGGAGAGACGGGTCGGGCTGGAGTACTGTGTGATGAAGCACGACCTTTTGGAATGCGGTGGGGAGGGACGTTATGGTGTGTATTTAAAATGCTGACAGTACTGCGCTGTGAAAGGGAATGTAAATTAATGAAGAGGAAGGACGGATGCACGTTGTGAAAGGAAGGGTGCCTCAACCGGGGGCTGGCCATTGTCACCGGTTGAGCTTACAGCTCGTAGATAGCCATAGTACAATGGGGCAATAGATGCCTACCTATATTGTCGCAATTGTCAACGCAACATTGCACGGCTGACCGCGGGCGCCTGCTAATGTGGTCACTGACATCCAGCATTTCAATATGCATGCAACTCCGTTGTCCGCAACTCTCTGGATCTGAGATCCGATGTCATGGCTAACAACTTTTGGCGTGCGGCCAGACCGCTATACCGTGACTCACTCGCCTGTGGAGACCTTGAAAATTCATCTGCGGAGTGAAGGGTCCGGGAGCAATTGTCTTTTTGGCCCTGAAACTCTCCGGACTCCACTGACTGCAAATTGACGGATGGACTTTTAGCAGGCTTATCGCACCTTGCCGGGAGGCTCTGGCAGAACGTCGTAAATTGTTAGATAAAAAGTGTGGGATTGTTCCCAAATGTGCCCATACACCGCAGTTAAGCAGCTGGATGAAACTGATGGGACTGGTCTCGTGTATTATATCCAGTGCTCAGCTAACGCCAGCGTCGAATCGACAATGTCAAAACACTGGAGCTGGCATGGCATCATAGCAAAGCATGAGGGCTCGTTTGACATGTGAGTTAGCGTGAATAGGTAGTTGACAGGAAAGCGGTTGATTCGTACTGAGCTATCTGCAGGACATATGGCTACTTTGCACTGGCATGTATGCTCGCTTTATTCAACCACAAGTGCTCGTTGCCTAGCTCATCGCTAGCCGGGGTTAACTTCAGATGCCGTCATCCGCCAATGATGTGGAAAACCGGGCCTGGCCTGGACCGTGGTCAGTAATCGAACGGTGGACAGTTATTCCAATAACGTCTGATGCGTATCGATTATGCACGACCCATTCGCGACGCTCGCTCTACCTGGCGAACAGGTGCCCGTCTCTTCCTGACCTCCATTCCTCGAGCTGTGCTCTACGGTGGCGGCGCGCAGCTTCCATTAGCGGCCACGGGCGTCGCCACCGTCGGCCGCCTCCCACCCGCGCTGCTAACGGGGCCAGCGGCGGCGGCGGCCTGCCGCGGAGGGCCGGCCGCGCGGCAGTGTCCCGTCGACAGCGGTCCGCGCCGCCGCCGCCATGGCGCTCCGGCTCAACAAGCCGCGCGATGTGGAGAAGGCTTCGTACTACGTCTGGTTCCTGGGCGCCCTGGAGAGCCGCGGCCTGCGCGGTCGCGAGTTCATCGCGCCCGTGGTCGACGAACTTCTGCGCAAGGAGCAGCACGTCGAGCCCACCAAGGTGACTCTGCAGGTGAGCGACAAGGGCCTGAAGATCGTGCAGCACGTGCCCAAGAAGGGCGGCAAGGGGCGTACGGAGCCCGTCAAGCACTTCATCCCGGACCACGCCATCACGTGCGCGCTGCAGGAGCCGGCGCCGGACCAGGACATCGTCAGCTGCATCCTGCTCATCTTCAACCCGGTCACCAAGTGTCCGGTGCACGTCCACACGTACCGCTGCGACTCGCCCGAGACGGCCGCCCTGCTGGCCAGCCAGCTGCAGACCCTCGCCGGCCGGCCCGACAACCGGGCGCACATTGAGCAGATCGAGGCGCGTCTCCAAGAGCGCGGCCTGCTGGCGGGCCCGGCGCCGCCGGAGCCGCCGCCGCCGGAGCCGGAGCCGGGTCGCGCCGAGTCGGCGCCGTCGAGCGGCGGCTCGGGCTCGGCGTCGGGCGCGCCGCCGGTGGCCACCCTGTTCGACTCGCTGGCCGCCGAGCTGCGCACCAAGATCGGCAGCCGCGACACGGGCCCGCTGCTGCTGCCGCCGCGCGACTACGACCTCGACCAGACGGCCGGCCGCACCGCACACAAACACGCCGTCCAGGAGGACTCGAGCGGTATCGGCTCCGACGACGCGCCCAGCCCCGACCACCGCGACCGCGACCGCGAGAGGACCTCGTCAGGTCAGTCACCGCACGGGGAGGGCAGAGGGCCGGGAGAGGGCAGCTGGGGTGGAGATAAAGAGGGGAGGGAGGGGTCACGAGCAGGGGTTATTTACGAGGCAAACGGTAAAAGATTGTTATTGTTACCTTGGCCAGAACATGTTGTGGGGTCAGTTTACTGTAGCACGTGTGTGTCAGCTCGCAAGTATGATGCTGCAGCCGATGACGTCATTTTGTTTTCAACATGGGGTGGGTGGGCCAAAGAGTCATGCTTTTGACACTGCCTTTAACCCCTATTGGTTTAATGAGCAACTTGAGCGTGAGACCTCACGGAATTAGATCGTGCCGATGCTTTCAATATAAAGCACCGAAGGGATGTGCCGATGCTGATACGTTTGTCGGGCTGCTGCAATAATGTTACGTCATGCTTTTCTTTATAAATTTATCGTTAAATTGGTTTTGATTTGACCCAACCGCAGCATACCCTTTGAGCTGTGTAACTGCCTTAGCTCACTTTCTAATCATCAATGTTTTGGCGCGGACTATTAAATTGGCTCGAGTTACATAGGTTTCACCACACATACATGGGCAAGACCAGTGTAACTAGCCAGTAGCCACTCGACCTGTCTAGCCACCGTCCCCCTCCCATCCCCTTCCCGATGACCCCGTCGGGAGTGCCGGTGGGCGGGCGTCGAGGGCACCCGGTCCGCACTCCCGGTACTCGCCGCGACCGGCCAGCCGAGCGGACCCATACGTGACGGGCGCTTTTCGGATGGCCGGCGGCAGCTAGCGGGCGCAGCCCTGACCCTTTGACCCAGAGCCGGACGGCACGGTCTGCAGCATGGCATATATAGGGGAGGGATGGACAGTGTCTCTGTACGGGCTCAGCCCCGGCGACTCACTAGGGTGCCTGCCCAGACCAATGTCTCCCCCTATATCCTATCATCCTCCCGGCTCTGAAATGGTCTCATTGGACCGAAAGGGCCTAACACAACAAAACAAAGTGTCTCTGCTGTCTCACCGCGGCCGGGAGACTGCACTGGCCAGATCAGTCGCCTGAGTGCGTGAAATTGGGCGCCGTCTGAGCGTTGGAGAGACGGTTGATGCAGCCAGTGACCGGCGGACTCGATATGGTGGGCCACAAAGTGTCGAGGCCTCTATCAAAAAGAGGCCTCGACACTCTATTCCTGCTGGAACAGGGCGTTCCAAGGGGTCAATTCAGCTCGCCGCTTGTCCTTTAGTCAGTTTTCCGAAGCGGTTATCCGACCTGAGGTCCTGTGCGACTTCCGGTCCCCGGCCCCGCCCCGGTGCGGTCCCGGCCTTCCTAGCCGACTAACGGGAGACTCGGAGAGCGTCGGCCGTTTGTCGCGTCACGGCTGGGTCCCGGCGGACAGCGACACGGACATCTGCCAGAGAACGGTCATTAGCGGT